ATAAATGTAAAACCTGGTTCACAATATTTCCAACTAGTTTTTCCATGTAAGAAATTACAGTGAAGTACTGAAATCTCTGCCTGAATAGGGACATTGATACTATGTGCAGGTCTAATGGAGCAGTTAGGTCATTTATCTGGTTACATTTTAATAAATGTCTCTAAAATATTTTGTTTCTTCTTCTAGTTCAAAGTCCACCATCCTCTTATTGAAGAGATGGCTTTCATTTATGGAACTATACTGACAGATGGAAAAGATGAATTTAATGATGAACCTACAAGTAATATATGTGTATTTGCAGATGCACAGGTAGTAAAGCATGCATGAGGAAAGATCCTGAGCTGTTATCATAAAAAAGTAGCCCTTAGTTGAATAGCCCTGAACTGCATCCCTGTCCACCAGAGTCCTAAAATAGTAGAGAAAAAAATATATGAGAACCCACCATGACTCTTGCTACAGATGGAGAATATGTAGAATCTGCAATATGAAAGGCAGGGGAGCCAGACCTGAATGTCTGCTTTTATACATTAAAAATTCTATTTGCCCTAGAATAAAACCAATATAGTACATGATTTGACTGTGGTTGAATAGCAACGTAGGTGAACCTAATCATAAGAATTTATCCCCCAAGAATTCTATGTCTGAGTTTTCTATTCTGCCAAGAAATAAAACTAGTATTGGCAATGTCTTTAAAGAAGAATGGCAGATTTAGTTTTAATTAGTCAAGTATTGCCAGAGCCTATTTGGTCTAGTGGTTAAGGCACCAGACTAGACATCAGAAGACTAATTGGCATTGGGCCAGGTATTCTCAGCTCAAGATGTCAGGCTAAGACATGAAGTCAATGTTGTTTTGTTTGTTTTTTGAAAACAATGGATCAATATTTGGTTAATCTGAAAAAAAAAAGTAGATGTAGGAAAATCCTGGGAAGAAAAAAAATCTTTTGCAAGAAAATACAGTTTCTGAAAATTTACTCAATTTCAGGTCGCTTTTAAAAGAAAGGCCAGGAAAGAGACAGCACTAATACTGTGCTGGGATTCCCAGCCAACTGTAACTCCCACCTGATAAGTTCAAAATGCAGTAGAGGGAATGTTGTGAGGAAAGCAGAATATGGTTGGGAAAAGATGCAGAAGGGACTTGCAATGGTCCCTTCAGATAGAGGTAGGTGTGTGGCCTGTTTAGCTTATGTGTATAGCAACCCTCTGTAGCCTAATCAAGGAGCTCAAGACCAGCCAGTGGCTTCCTACTTCTGGCTGGCTGTTCCTGCTGATGTTAAATGAGGCACAGGATGGACAGGATTATCTGGAGGGCTAATGAGCATGATGCCCCAGCTTTAAATATTGAATTACAACTTGTAAAACCCACCGAGCATGATGGTTGCTATTGAAGTTCAACGTCTACAGTGACATTGATATCTTCCTTCAGAGGCTTTATAAAGACAGAATTCTAACTTTATGGGCACAAACATTCTCCATATTAGTACTGAATAATAAACTGAAATCAATATTATTTTAGGGTGGGGTTGTTGGTGTTCCCTGAGCCTGATTGTTATCTTGCAGACATTTCATTACCCACCTAGACAACAACTTCAGTACTAGAGGGAGTGAGGTTTTCTGTTCATTTACAGGAGATTGCCTGTCACTCTATTCTTGCCCGGTCAGCCTTATTCTAGGAAATTTTAATCCCCAAACATAATTTTTCTCAGCATATTTTAATTGGAATGAACTCCAAAGGGAAAGTAGACAGCATAGATATGAATACCTGTAAAGATGAAAGTGAATAGGCATAGATACAAATATAATTGTTTATTTGCATAATAGAACAATGAACAAAAATGCAGTAGGTCATATATTTCTCAAATAGGTTGATCGAAGTCCTACAGGATCAGGTGTGACTGCTCGCATTGCCTTACAACACCATAAAGGATTAATTCAACTGAACCAGACCAGGACCTTTAGAAGCAGTTCAACTGGTTCCTTGTTCACTGGAAAAGCGATAAAGGCAAATACTAAACCTCTGTTTTGGGGAACAGGGTGGGAAGGAAGGAGTTTGTGTAGGTTATTTTTTAAATAGAAAATATGGAATTAGCTGACTGGAAAAGGGTTGCTTTTCCTTGGGTAGCATTAAAGTGGACTCAAAATCTACCTCAGTTGGATTAAATTGAGTTGATTCTCCCTCAGAGTTGTGGGAGAAGAAAGCCACTTGCAAAACAGAACTTTGTCTTTCTCTGAAGTCCACATCCTTTCTGGGCAGTCTTTCCTGAAGATGAAGGAAAGACCTACAAAACATTCTGAAAAATGTGCCATGGGTTGCAGCAGGAGGAAGAAGTTATCTAGTATTAAGAGGAGCAGTTTTGTAGGAGCAGTGCAAGAATACCAACTTGGATTTGTTCTCACTGCAACCCAGTGCAATTTTTAACATTCAGAGAATATGAAGCAATAGGAAGTGAAGGAAAAAATATTATGGCATGAGTTTACCTTACTTTCTGGTTGCATAAAATGGGATTGTCCAGTGTTGAGAAGATGTTTTTAATTGTCACTTAATATTTCATTCTGGATATATATGTCTCCTCATATATTTGCTATTTGCAAAAGCTTATAGACTGTATTACTGAACTAATGAGAAGACCTATTTTTTAACCTTAAACACTTGTTTTTCCAATCCAGGAAACGAAATGTGGTGAACACAATGCTGTTATAGTAGAAGTCTCAGGAGAATCTTTTTATACCGGAACATCAACTTTTACTCTTGAAGAAAATGATCCACTGAAATATGGTTTCTTTCTCAAGTAATTGCTTTCTTAATAACTGTGATGAAAAAGATGCATTTTTGTTTAGTTTTGATTATGGTATTGGTCCTAATTTTTTACTGATAATTAATATAAATAATGATAAAGAACACAGTGTAGCCAAAGTTAAGCATTTTCATATCTACTACAAAATCTTTGGTTGGCCAATACAAACATAATGGCAGGGTAGTAAGTCATAAATGTTTTTCTTGGCATCAGAAAAGCCTTGTAGGGGACAATTGCAGTAGGAAATTAGAATAATTTACAATGATTAACTTGTGACAATAATAAACTTGTGATAGCAAAATGCTGTAACAAAACTAGAATTGCATTAGTAGTTAGGTATTTAAGAACAACTTAAAAAGAAGTTGATCAAAGATTTCAGAGAAAACGTTTTGTTGACAATTTAAATGTGGGAAATTCTTGGTAGACTTGTGTGTGTGGGGGGAAGAATACCATGAATTACATCATGGATATCAATTATAGGTTACATTTTTAAAAAAATGTAAGAGTCTTAAAGGCCTTTACTGGGAATATAACTCATTAAGTTCACTGTGATTCGATGCTGAATAACCATGCAAAATTAAAGTTTGTTTGTTGTTTATGAAACAAGTTTTTTAATCTGATTTTGACCTTTTCTTACATAGCTATACAGCTATCACATTAGATAAACAAAACAATCACCTTCTTAAAATTAACTGAATATACTGTAAAAATTGATGGCCAGCACATGGATTTATTTAAAAAAATGCAAATGAAAAGGTCATTTTTGTTACATTTTAAGTACATACTGCTGATAACCTACCCACTTATACCTTAAAAACCTGCCAAATCCTGATAGAGCTCTGCCATGGATTGCAATGGTTCCCTGCCTTATCCCAAATGGGGCTGAACATCTATTTCCAACACCTCTCAGTGCTGTCCATCCTGGCTGAGTTGCTGGGAAGTTGTAATTCATCTAGAGAGCCAGAATCTCTCTGCCTAAACCAAAGACTATCAGATTAGACAAGGTTGCTAGGACCACTCCACTGCTACAATGTAGTGGATGAGGAAACCCAGCCAAGAATTTTAGATGTGATTCTGGTGTGTGTCCCCCCCCTCCCCCATGAGTTTTTTAAAATGGTCACTGAAAAACTTAATGTAGAAACCAGCAGTTTCAGGTCCTGCAAAGTTACGAAGTCCCGAAATCCCGTCTTCTCTGCATTTGTTCAGTCACTCCAACAAGAATGGGCTGGTACTTCTGTTCCAAAAGATCCCTTTTCATGTTCCGAGAAACTGGACTGGGGTAAAGAAGACATTAGATAACCACTTGTCCAAGTAGTATAGGGATTCCTGCTTAAGTAGGGGGTTGGACTAGAAGACCTCCAAGGTCCCTTCTAACTCTGTTATTCTATTCTATCCTATTCTATTCAGGTAGGAATAAGTAATTGACATAATTTTGTCAACTGCTGGGACCAGCAGAGATGGTGTCACTCACTTTTTGACTGGTGGATTGTAAAATATTTAAAGGGGCCACTTGCCAGCCCTGCCAGGTCGCCAGTCAGACCTCAGGATGAAGTGGGAAAGAGGCAAAATGGGGGCGGGAGGGGGAAAACTGCGGCGATGCTTTCTCCCCTGAGGAGCGGTCGGATGGGGATAACATGGTTTCCCTGGGCAACCGTCTGCAGAAACGTCAGCGGCCCTGAACGTCTGCTCCGAAGAGGAGCCAGCAAATTCAGCGCACCGCACGGCTGGTTTCCAGCGCCGGCCGAGTCCGGGCTGGCTGAGCAGCTCTGCAAAGGAACCAGCGAAAGCTAAGCATCCCCAACGCTGCCGCCCATACAGAAGCCGCCTGCCCGGGAAGGAGCGCGCGTCCCCGGGTGGAGGGAGAGCAGGCAGCGACCCACAGCATCCCCGTATAATTAATTCCGCCTGCCGTCCAGATTGCCGCGAGACGCGCGCAGGGCCGAAGCGTGGACGGCGAGGAAGCGGGGCGTTTTTTCCAGCTGCTGCGCCGCCGTTTTCGAAGCCGCCCCTTCCTTGGGCAGCCGGCTTCCCCAAAATGCAGCGGGAGCCCAACTTTCCAGGGTTCAAGGAGGCCGGGAGCCACGTAGCCGCGGAAGCCGTGCCGAACCCCAACACGCCGCTTATCCCCAGCGCCTGAGGCGGCCGCTGCTTCCCACCATCCCGCTGGCCCTTTCGGGCTGGGGATGCGCCTTCCTGCACCAGCTGCCCATGGAGGAGGTGGCCTCGCCGAGCAACGCTTCTGCCGCGCCCGGCAATGGAAGCGCGGGGAGCGGGCCGGGGACGGCGCCCCCGGACCTCGTGGAAGAGGCGCGGTGGGGCTGGTCGGGGGCAGCGCTGGCCTCGCAGGGCCTGTTGCTGCTCGCCATCTTTGCGCTTTCTACGCTGGGCAACGGCGCCGTGGTGGTCATCATCGCCCGGCACCGGCAGCTCCGGACAGTCACCAACGCCTTCGTGCTGTCGCTGTCGCTCGCCGAACTCCTGGACGCCCTTCTGTGCCTGCCCTTGGCCTTCGTCAGCCTTCTCAACGGGCGCCCACACGGGGCCTGGCTCTTCGGGCGCCGCCTCTGCTTGGCCAGCGCCACCCTTCACGCTGGCTTGGGCATCGCTGCCACCCTGACCATGGCCCTGCTCTCCTTTGACCGCTACTGTGCCATTGTCCGCCAGCCGCTGCATAAAATGGGCCGCCGGAGGGCCACGCAGCTCCTGGTTGCTGTGTGGTTGGCTGCCCTGGGCTTCTCAGGGCCTTGGTACCTGCTGGCCCAGGAGGAGGAGGAAGAGGAGGAGCAGTCTGTCGGGCCAGGCCCCCCTGCTTCCTACCATTGCATGTATGTGCTGCCTTGGGGCTCTTCCCATTTGGGTCCCCCTTATAGTGCAACCTTGATTGTCCTCTGCTACTTGCTGCCCTTCGCCCTCATGTGCTTCTGCCACTACAACATCTGCCGGGCAGTGAGGCTGACCGAGAGCAGGGTGCGCCCACTCACCACCTATGGGCACCTCCTGCGTTTCTATGGCGAGATGCGCACAGCCACTACCGTTCTGATTATGATCGTCTCTATCATCTGCTGCTGGGGCCCCTATTGTATATTAGGCTTGGCTGCTGCAACGGGACGCTTCTCCTTTTCCCCCGCCATAGACACTGTGGCAAGCTGGATGGCCTGGGCGAATGGCGCCATCAACCCCCTCATCTATGCCACCCGCAACCCTAACATTTCTCTTCTTCTTGGGCGCAGTCGGGAAGGGGGCTATCGGGCTCAAAAACCTGTGGCTGCCTACTTGGCGTCTGCTCAGGGTCAGCGGCTGGAGAGCAAGAACCGGGCAGAACGCTATGCCAGTTATGGGCATGGCAGTGGGGGCAATGTAAGGAATAACCTGACCTGCTCCAGTCCAGGCACTGGTAGAGAAGTGGCTATGTGGGCTTTTAAGAACCCAGCTGTGCTTTTCTGCCGTGATGCGCAACCTGGTTCAGCATCTAAAGTGGGCTTGCCACACAAATCAGGCAGCGTTGATACTTGCCTCTGAATCAAAATGGCTACATGAATTGGAATTAGTTTGGTGGCAAGACCTACGTTAATCAAATGTAGGTTATCTGATGGGGAGTATAATAGATCTTGGAAAATGGGCATGTGAAGCAAAAGGATCAAATTAACTCCTGGTCTGAATCTCACAACTACTGCTTTTTAATGGCTTATGGCAATTTGATTTTTTTGCTATGTATGAGAGCAAGAGTTAAAAGCTATAGGCAAAGCATGAAATAAAATGGGTTGGATTTGAACATTTATTAGGTGAGGATTTAACAGTGTGATATGGCTATACCCATAAGACATACTGACTTGCACACTAGCCAAGCACATGTTAACCTAGTGTGTTGTGTGAACTAGATTGGGGGACTAGTCAACTAGCACTGAGCTAAAGGATAAATCAAGAATGGCCATTCTAGAGAAATTAGAGATGTCTCATTCGCAGAATAACAAAAAAGAGGTGAATCACTTGGGAAAGATGAGCATTGTAAGATCACAGTACTAGACTTGATATGTGAAAGAAAATATTACTCATCATTAAGCCTGCTGTCACAAACACCGTTGAGTAAGCTGGTCTGTTGATGATGAAGTAGCTTTTTTGCAGTAATATCACAGAAAAAAAATGCACTTCTAAATTTTACCCATTTATAGTGTGCTTTTTTTGACAGTTTATTGCTAATGTACCTTCAGAGCATATTTTGTATAGTTGAAAATAAATACAAGACTATTCAGCAAAAATTGGAACCCGCTGATTAAGCTTCCAGTGATTTCAATAGGAGACATTTGCAGCACAATTCTAAGCCTGTTTCCTCAAAAGCCATATGTGTATTCTCATTGAAATCAATGGGGCCTGAAAATTGCTTATGTGGATGACTCCGTATTTCAGAGTATTTTCTTTGAACTCTTGTACTGGCTAAATAGCAAGTCAGAGTTAGTTGTAGTCTGGTGTCGTCTAAGTCAGATGAATGAATGAATGGTGAGTGAGTGAATGAATGAATGAATGAATGAATGAATGAATGAACGATGTTGGACTAACCTCTAAGAGTACATTCAGGCTTGTAATGCTATGATTTTTAAAAACTCAAATTTCTATGACAAAAGCAAATTCCTATTTGCGACATTTTTGGATTTACTGCACTGTAATTAGTTTGTCTGGAGTGGACCATGGATTTTTCCACAGAAGCATTTTTTTAAGCCTTAGTTTTACCCAACACAGTATTTGTTATACTGAGAACTTCAGAGTTTAATTGAATGGATGGATATGGTCATGAGTATTATCCTTCTAAACCCCCTTCATCTTTTACTTTGTTTCATATACATTGATGAAGCGCCACGAGGCTGATCTGAGCAAGCTACAACCTATATATACAGGTGGTCCATGGCTTACACGCATTTGTTTACTGACCATTTGAAGTTACTACGGCACTGAAAAAAGTGACTTATGACCGTTTTTCACATTTAAAACGGTTGCAGCATCTCCATGGTTACATGATCGAAATTTGGATGCTTAGCAACTGGTTCATATTTATGACGATTGCAGTATCCTGGGGGTCATGAGGTCACTTTTTGCAACCTTCTGACAAGCAAAGTCATTGAGGAAGACAGATTCACTTAACGAGCTTACTAACTTAACAACTGCAGTGCTTCGCTTATGAAATGTGGCAAGAAAAATCATAAAAGTCAAAACTCACTTAACAACTGTTATTTATTTAGCGTATGGCACGTGTTAGCCAGGGATCACTGAGGCAGCTGGCTGCCTCTGTGAAAGGAATTTTTTTGGGTGATGTTATCTTTTACCTGCGGGATGCCTGAATGCCATTAGGCAGTCGGGGGAGGCTCCTTTCTTGTCTCTCTGTGGTTTAATCGCTCATGGGAATCGAGCTGCCGACCTCAGCAGCATACAGGTCCAGCGTCTTACCACGTGAGCCACCATTTAACAACACTTTTGCTTAGCAACAGAAATTTTGGGCCAAATTGTGGTTGTAAGTTGAGAACCACCTATAGTTGCCTATTTTTTATGAATTACAGTAAATGCCATAAAATAAACATTAGTTTGAAAAAAAACCTCTCTGATGCCTGCCTAGTTATTGAGCAAAAGGATCTTGCACGGTGTGCCAAACATATTTTGGCAGATTTGGGGGATGGTGTTGGTTTGGCTTGCATTGTGGTTTTTTTTGTTTTTTTTTTGCAGAGGGGTCCTCAGTTCAGCAAATGGTTCACCAATCTGCTTCTTCCATTGCAATAAATTGGACATCTGTTTTAAAAGATGGCCTGCCAAATGCATGGGAAATGCTGTATCTCTGCAACATTGGAGGCAGGATTTGAGTAGCTGCAGAACCCAATGCACAAATAAATCTGCAAATGGGTTGTACTTGATCAGTTGCGCATACAACTCTCCAACTCTGTTTTTTCCACTGAGTTAAGAGCCTCGTCTTTCGTTGGGTAGTTTGTCTGGAAATCAGTTTTATTAGATTGTTTAGAAAAAGAAAACCACTGAAACAAGTTTAAACTAATGTGACACTGAATTTTTCCTCTACCTTATTCCTTGAGAGTTCTATTTTAGATTTTTCCTCGTAATGTATCTGAACTTTATTTAAGAAAAGCAGCTTAGTTTGGATTTTTTTTTCTGTTATGGATCTTTCTACTACATTCTGCAGTTTCCATGGGTGCCTGATCTGAAACTGGGAGGAGTTCTTTTGGGTTACATTAGAAGTAAGGGAGGCTTCAAATCCTTGATGGATAATTGTAAAATGAAAGACAGGATATTGACATATATCCTTCACCACACCAAACTCCTCTTATGCCAGTAACCATAGTGCTAGTTTGTCCTTTAACAAAGAAATTTCAAAAGTAAATCTTCCATCAAATTGAATAAAAATTGAGTATTACATATGTGTGTGAGAAAAAAATAATATTATTATATCGGTTTTGCTGGCAAAGATTAAAAAAAACATTTCTGAAGTAAAACCAAAGGACTTTCAAAGTGGACCATGGTAAAAATTCCCAGTTTATTACACAGATATTGTCTTTTTTTAATTTAGAAAAACTTTTCAGAGATAATAATTGATTGTTAAAGCCATTGCCTTTGAAGTACTTTTATAACTTCAGAGAAAGGAAAGGGGAAACAATTTAGAGATAAACAGATAAATTTCATTCTGAAAAATCAAGCCTGAAATCTTAATCAAGAGAAAACCCTTAGAAAATTGAAGTACCGTTAAAGTACTGTTGGCAAAGGGAAACACCAGCTAAAGAACTGGCAGGGGGGCTTCCGATTGTTGTGAAGAAATAATAATAATTTAGCAATTTATTAAACGTGTATGCCATCCAACTCTCACTGACTCTGGGCAGCTGGCAGCAATCAAAGAAATTACAATAAAAGTAAATAAAAGCTAAAAGATGGCAAGTGTGACAGGTCAGATGATACAAAGGAAGGGGCCTGGGTGAAGAGCCAAGTTTTCACTGCTCTTCAGGGAAAATGTCCCAGTGAATGCTAGACTAAAGCATCTATTTCCAGGGAGACGTGTGTTGAATTACTGCCTACTGCAGCATATGATTAGAGAAACAGCACTTCATTGTCACACAATCGTTGTTTCCTCTTCTGTTACTTCATTGAATGCTGGATTGTAAACATCAGGAGGAGAAAGACATTTGCATCACCTCCATTGAGGAGTGTTGTTATTACTATAAATAATTGATTATTAAAAGACCCAAATGAACTACAGGCAGTTCTCAACTTACAACAGTTTGTTTAGTGACTGAAGTTACAACGGCACTGGAAAAAAAAGTGACTTATGGCCACTTTCACACTTATGACATAGCAGCATCCCCATGGTCACGTGATTTATATTCAGATGCCTGACAAGTGATTGCTGCAGTGTCCCTGGGGTCATCTGACAAGCAAAGTCAATGCCAGATTCTCTTCACAACCCTGTTACTAATTTAACAACTGCAGTGATTCCCTTAACACACATGGCAAGAAAAGTCGTTAAATGCGGCAAAACTCACCTAACAAATTTCCCACTTAGCAACATAAACTTTGGGCTCAAATTAATTGTCGTAAGTCGAGTACTACCTATTTTCAAAAAGATCAACGGGGCTGAGAGATTGTTGCATTCTCCAGTAGATGGCAGTGCTGCTTTTTTTTTTAAAAAAAAATAGAAGTGATGTAAAAACCAAGCCTGTATAATCTTATTTCAATTAATTTTCCCCTCTCCTCTCTCCATTGGGGCACACAAGCTTCCAAGTCTTACTTCAGGCAGCCCAGAGGATTCTCCTGAGAAAGTAAAGGAAGTTATGGAGGAAATCAGCTCATTGTTTATATACACCTTTCTCCTCAGCATGGGCTGAAAGAAAATCCTCAAGAACTCGTATGGAAAGCCCGAGGGATACATTAAGTGGGGCCTCTTTAGGTTAAATTTACAAACAGAGAGTTGGCAGCTGTTCTGTAAGCAATCCAGAAAGAAGATCCCTTCCCAGGTCTGAGGGCGTCCAAGGCCATATCAGCCATTTCTTCACTCTCTAGAGATGAGACGTACCAGGCTTCACTCTTGACAGTTCCTCCCCTGGCCCCCTTTATCCTTAATCAGAGGAGCAGGGTAGAGTCACTAGCTTCATGCACACTGCACGTTAAAAAAGGGACGTACAGTTTGCACTGCACATCTACCCAGTCCAGCTAGCATTAGAAAGCTCCCGCTACAAACATGGGTGAACATACTATTGTCTATATTGTATTTGTAGAGGATCCAATAAATCTGTAGCTTTCCTTGACTTACTACTCAAAGACAGCTTTGAGTTTCCCTTTATAATTGTGCAGCATTTACAATCCCTTTCACTTGGCACCCACAGGAAATGTGCATGATGCAAAAAGGATTTGAAAGAAATTCTTGGGGACGTTGTCCGACAGCATCCCTCTGTTAATCCGTAAGCAGCTCTTCTTTTTCAGACTTTATTTCATGAGCTTACGAAATGTTGTTGCTTCGAAGAATCCACTTAATATGGCAC